AAAAAAAAAAAAAAAAAAAAAACGCCAGACGAGCTGGTTCCTGTGTGTTTTTATCGGCCCCGCAACCAGAATCAATCCGCGTTTATTTCCCCCATAAAACAAAAACAGACTGGTTCAGTCCAACCCGGACCTGCAGCCCGGTTCTGTTCCTCCACCAGGGTAAAGTGCACCAGAGCGGACCCGAAGCCGAGCCGATGAAAGGCTTTAAATAGCTGCCGTGGAGATGCAGACCGAGCCGAGGGGAGGGATGGACGCGAGGATGGGATGTTCTCAGAGGATGAAGGAGGACCACTGTGGAAACACGGTCCGAATCTGGTGCTGTTGGAGCTAAACACAAGATTTACTTACAAAAAGAATCGTGCTGATGACTTCACCCTGACGCCTTTTACAATTCTGTACATTTTTTGCATTAACTTAAATCATTCCTACAATACATTTAACAGACTGTAATTTATCCAACATGTCTCCAAACCTTACAGTTAATTCTTTAAAAGTTTAGCTGTTCTTGTTTTATTTCCATTTTTAAATGTTGAACAGAGTCGGCAGATGTCAGTTCTGGATTATAAATATTAAAAACACGTCCTATGAGGAATAGAAAATAAAAAAGACCTTCGTCCAGTCCTCACACGTGATCGTTGTCGCGTTAAACATCTTCACATTTCTGTAAAATAACAATATTTGTGCAAATTAGAATTCAATCAGCATCACTTGTGTTGTGAAAGAACAACTCAGTGTCAGTAAAAACGTATTTATCAGGTGCAGCTTTTATTTTTCCTTTTACGAGATAATTTAACAAAACATCTGTCTGACATCTGTTTAAAAAAATAAATAAATGACCGTTTTTTGTTCCTTATTATGTGTTTTTTTCTTTTAAATGATGATGAATGTGTTTCAAATAACAACATCAGAAAAACCTGTGATATTTCAGGGTCAGATGTTGTAAAAGTCCAGATTGCTGATGTGGACGTTGTTTTACTTATTTTACAGATTTGGTCTCTTTTTGTTGTTTTAAGTCAACGTGTTCATTAAATATGTTTTTCTTTTTTTTTAACAAAACAGAGAAATTGTGAAAGTCTGAGGACACTGGCGGTAACCAGAGCGTTGCTGCTCCTCTCGTTTCCATCTCTGACGTCTTTCAGCTCCACAGCTACCTGCAGACGTCTGATGTTTGCGCTCAGACGGACTCAGATGTTTGCTTTAGGAGCTGCAGTCAATCAGCTGGAGTCCATTAAACGACGTGAGCTCATTAACTCTGACCTCTGAGCTCGTCGGTCTCTTCCTCTTTTCCTTCCTCTGTGACCAACGTTTGCAGCCGTCGTGGATCTTTTTCAACTCTGGAGCTCGTCGTGGATTCTGCAGCAACACGAGAAGCAACTTGAACCCGGACAGGACCGAAGACTGGACTCCATTCATTTGGATTCTCCTACTTTTGCTTTGGCTGAGCTCCAGGATGTATTTTTTGCATCGTGTCAGAGCTGTGGAAGCTCATGGCTCTGCAGGAGATCATAGTTCAGCTCCTCAGAACCGTCCGGTCCAGGTGAGTCCAGGAGGAAAGCCTGAAACACTCTGAGGCCGAGTCGACCGACGCTCGCTGGGAGGATTTCTTCTTACGATTGTTGTCGAAGCTGCGGCGATCCAGACCTGCAGGTCGGAGATACGAGAACATAGATCTGATCCAGAAGGAACCCTGTCTGGAGCGGGATCCTGGTGTCAAACGACAACAACGACACACGAGACGACAGAAACCAGACTGAAAGTGACACAAAGTGACTAAAGTCAGACACACAACAAGAAAAACAAGGAAAACAAGAAAAACACGACACATCATGACAGAAATGAGACAACAAATGATATAAAACAACAGAAATGAGATTTAAAATGACCAAAAATGACCAAAATGAGACACAAAAGAACCGAACGGAGACAGAATGACGGAAACAACACAGAAAATTATGTAAAATGTCAGAAAAGAGGCAAAATATGACACAAAATGACCAAAACAAAACACAAAATGACAGAAACGAGACTTAAAACAACACAAACGAGACACAACATGAAGCTCTGGTTCTGGTGTAAATAAAGTCTGTATGAAACAAACCGGACCAGAACCGACTGTCACTGTCGGACCAGCAGAACCAGGCTTCGGGTCGACTCCACAGTTCTTCATGTCTCCTCAGACGGACTCCAGCAGCAGCAGCTCGTGTTCTCGGATCAGAACTCAGCGTTCAGAGGCTCCAGCTGTTCTGCATTTTGCTGCATCACGCTGCTCCGACTTCCCCAGACGACGAGTCGATCTCAGACTTTCTTCTGCAGCACGTCGTCCCCCCTGAATGTAAATCAATATGGCCGCCGGCGAGCAGCGTCCATCTGCTGCAGCTGGAGGAGGAGGAGGAGGAGGAACGCTGGAGGTGGACGGAGGGA